ACATGCGAGTCAGCCAATGAGAATGTAGTGTTGGATGGCTGTCGTGTGCATGCTGACTGACTCGGAGTGAGTTGTGCCATGGCTGCCGCCCATATGTGAAGGTTCTTATTACGAGTTTGTTTTCTTAACACTTGTTCAATTAAGCCATTCAAAATGTTTAACCTTGATTACCTGCAGCAGCATTACAATATTTGTTTTGATGTTAGGCTATTTTAAATTAACGTGTTATCTTGTGTTGATAATCGCAAATGAGCTGTTGTTCAGTATACATACTGAACTTTTATCTTCCTTGGTAAGCGTAAAATGATCCAAATTTTAACTAATCGTCTTTTTTTTTTTTTTTAAATGGCATGGTATGTGCAACTTCAATAACATTAGTCCAGGTGGAAAAAAATATCCCTCCAAAGCTTTTTGAGACAAGAGATATTGTGTCCACATTTTTGGGGAATCGCATAATTCGATTGCAGCCCTAAAATTTGTTTCTCTTAAATGTTAAATTATTCTGGTATGTTTCTGTATTGTAACTTGCAACAATGTCTATTATTACTTCCATATTAACCATTTTGTCATGCTTTGACTCAGTGACTCAGGAAGGATTTTTGTACAGATGTGCGATGTATGCACTTGTGTCTCCCCAAACAGCATAAACTAAACAAAACGTGTTGTGATGCTGAACTGAAGCAAAAGCATAGACAAGTAAAAATGGTCTAAATAAGCAATATTAGAGGTCTTTCCATCATTAAAGAAGCTGGAGTAAGGCTGACGTTACCCTCAGGTAGATCCATGTGTGGGCTTAAGGGCCAACCCAGGCCATGTAATATTTGTATTACTTCTGTACAAAGTATTGTTATTTAATTCTGCGCTGACTCTTGTGGATTATATGCAAATGTCACCTGCAAATGTGGGTCGCTTTATTGGTTGCTTGTACGTAAACACAATCATATTGGACATGTGTAATTTGAAATGTGTATGGAAATCGAACAAAATGTAGGCATTCATTTGGAAATCGGCACTTGGACCAACAGTGTGGCCAATATTTTGTGCTCCTCAAGAAGTTAATGTATCAATTTAAAACTACACAGAATTTAAAAAAGCAAGCGGGTTTATGCAAGAGCTGTGGTGCAAGGTGCACCAAAAAACAAAAAAGTTCTGGTCGTAAATTAGCAATGTTTAAGCATGGAGCTGACAGTGTGTTCACGGGCCCTTGGTTTACCTCTCCATGATCATTACCTGTTTGTGCTGTGGCCGAGATGGGCTTCTCCTGAGTTGGAGTTGCTGCTACTCGGCGAATCGGCATCACAGGAGCCTGATCTGGGAAAGTTTTATGAAAAAAAAGAGAAAAGAAACCCCAGAAAATGTGCATGAGAATGCTTCCGAGATTATTCTCATGCAGTTGTATTGAAATATGAGACTAGATGGTAAAATGTGATAAATGTAGACATTTTATTGCAAAAATGGGGGGATTTAAGTAATGTGATAAATAGCTCACTTAAGTCGTAAAACAACGGAATACTGTGCAGTTGGAATGTTTTGAATTGGTCATGAATTATAGGTAAATTTGTGCATTTTTCCAGTGAAAATATGGGAATGAAAGTTACAGACATCCTGAATGAGCGGAATATTTCGAATTTAGAATGGCACTACTCATGCTTATTTGTCCGTTGAACTTTATTAATTAAAAATCAAAGTCACTTGAATGTTTTACTATTTTCAGGTGGGGGGCAGGACGTGAAATTAAGGGAAAATGAGTAATTCTACATTTTGAAAATGTGAAAAAATAGTTCCCCCGTATATCCTGAATGGTTCCAGAGCGGTTTAGTTGGAATGGTTTGAATCGGTGGAGAAATTAAGTACAACGCCGAAAAAAATGACGAAATTATATATTTTGGGGTGAAATAAATGCCAATTCATAATCTACACAATAGCCCCGGCCCCCCAAAAAATCCAACAAAAAAATAATTTGAATATGGCAAGTGGTGGGGGGTAGCTGGTTCATGGCCCACCACTGGCAGCGGATTCAAACAGGCAAAGCCATTTACCTCAATTCACGGAGGCCTCACGTCGTTTAATGTACGTAAACTGTCAAAAAACACGAAATCCCCGAGGCTCGGCAGAGAATTTCGACCTGGTTGATCTCTTGGGGTTCTTGACTAACGTCGGGGAAAGAAAAATCGCAAATTTCGCCATTTTGTCCTCTGGTTAATGTTACTCACATACACCGAGTGTCACACACATACGCGGCGGCTGTGGTGCTGATGGCGTCGCGAGAGCATTTCAAAAACCCGCCCCGGGCTGCAACAATTTCCACGTAAGACGATCCAAGCTCGCCTGAAACTGCAAGGCAAACTTACCTTGGACTTTATGGTGCAAAAAGTGAAGATATTCGCGAGTTTAAAATGAGTGCACGAGCCTTTATTTCGATTCCTCTGTTTACGAGCCCCGCCCCGTTCGAGTGCTTGGTGACGTCACAATGTCTCGACTGTCATGGCGGCCCGCTGCCTGTCAACTCTCGCCCAGCATCATCACCTCCTTCTTTGTTGTAATAGAGAGCCATCTAGTCGAATTACTTCATTATTTCAAGGTAACAAGGGCAACTACAGTTTAACCCTTGTGCACCAAAACATCCCATAACAGGACTGTTGACGTACAAACTAAAATTATGTCATGATCTATTAACATGTTGAAGGCGCTAACTTGTCCATATTGAATAGTCCGAATTCAATGTTTTTGTTTTTTACTTATATGCAGATGATAGTTACTTATACCCATAGCACAATACTGCTTTTTATTGCTTTGATGTCCATAGAGGGCACCAACCTCAATAAGTAAATCGAAACTATATATGTATGGATAGGTCTGACGCCACTGAACATTTTGAGTGGTCGCAAGAAAAAAAAGGATTTAGAAATGACTTTGATATTACACTTTAAAGCCACCGTTCCATTATGGTGCCTTTGTCCGATGTGTCGTTAAAAAAAAATCAACGCACAAGGGTTAAACGAACAAAAAAACGGGGTTTCATTCAATGTTCTGTCTTACAAATAAATCTATGTCCGTGTGCATCAAAATAAGACGTCTTTAAAATTGTGGTATTGTGGAAAGAAATGCAACCCCAATATTTACCGTGGTAAACCAATTTTGAGGTTGCGGGCGGGGAAAGAACTTCAAATCTGCGGCTATGCATAATGGGAGTTGTGCAAAAGCGTTAAGTTGTTTTGGGGACTCCTAAAATGCATGTTTTTATGTCGTTTATTATATTAATTTGGTCTTTGTGTTTTATGCTACTTTTGTGTATTATATACAGTTCTTCTAATCCTCTTGGCACAGGTGTCAAATTCAAGGCCCAGAGGTCCAAATCCGGCCCGCAACATTGTTTTTATGTGGCTCGCAGAATTGTGTGCATCAACTTCTTGTTTCAATACCAAAATTGCATTCCATTTTTGAAAACAAGATATTGAAAGCATTTTGTGTAATTAATCCTATTGTAAAATAAAAATATTTGAAAAACGTTGTTACTGGCCTCTGATTTCAAAACAAGTTATTCGTCAATTTGTGTGTATGTAATGTGAGCCGATTATATTATTTGGGGGGATTTACAGTCATAATGGGCCTCTGAAGGAAATTAGATGAAAACAAAGTTAAAATGTGGATCTAGAAAAATTACTTTTAATAATAATGGATTATTTTAAAATTGTATCTATAATTAATTGGCCAACTCTATAATCAAATTAAGACATTGTTTCTCAATATTTAAAAAGATCTTAATTTTATTTACAAGAAACCAATTGACCAAATTTTACGTGACCTAATAAAAATGAACAATTTAACTATTTTTGTTATTTTAACTAATTTTAAGGGAAAATGTCTACATTTATCAAACAAATATTACAGTTGTACTGTTTGATGATGTCAATTATTGGTTGTCAAAAGGGAACTAAAGAGTTGTAGAAGGAAAGGAATAGTACACCTGACTATTATGACAACAATAGAGGTTAATGGATATGTTTGGGATTCAATCTCCAAGTAACATCCCAAACAGCAATAAATTCAAGTTATTTCCCCAATCATGCATTCGCACGCTTTTGCACAAACACTCACAAATTGAAAGCACTGCAGTATAACACTTAATATGTTTCAAAAATCTCTAGGTGGTCAAGTTTCCGTGCTCCCAAAGCAAGTGAGTGCATCATGTTCAACTTAAAAGTCCATCACTTGTTACATCAAGATCTAATTCATGTCATCGAATTAAACCTCCTGCTGTTTGTTTCTTTGATACATCAGAAAACTGCCATAGGTCAATCTGCATGTTAAATCAAGATTTTTTTTGTGAACACTTTATTGGAAAATCCTAGAAATATAAGATCGCTGAGTTTATCCCTCGCCCCCAACCTTTTTTTTCCACGCCAAAGGGTGAGAAACTGAAAATTGGAGACACTTAATGTGTGTGTGTTAAATTAGCCAAGGCCAAGATTTCATCAGTAACACGTGGACATGAACAAATTTATAGGATTTTGGGACAAGTACAGACTGGCCACCCAACCCCCACACATACCCAAGGGTTATACTGTCCTGTAATTGCCTACAGATGAACGCTTTTGTCTAAATGAAGTTCCTCAACTCACTTCAGTTCCATGGCACCAAGAAGCCATTAGATGGCGCCAAAGCAATACTCTTTTCGCTTTGACCGAAGGAGACTCCAAACATTTTTCGGTGATATATGTAGGATAGCACACCTGCACGTACACCTAAAGAGAATGCGTCAATACTGAACTACAAATAAGCAGGTATTCACTGAGTATACAGATTTTATCCGCAAATTACTTTTTCAGGCACGTCAAAGGCGATTAATTTGTCAGAATAATATTCTTAAAAAGAGGGCCTCATAAAACGTGTCGATCAAATGGATGAGATGGACATTTGTGGACAATTAAGTTTTGAGTGTCTTGCCATCAAATGGGGGAGGGGGGGTTTGAGAAGACAGACACATACAGAATCACCTCCAAGTTTCGAAATATTTTTTCTCTCCATCTTTAATATATTTACAAGCTTTTAATGAGCTGTGTAGGGATGAAGTATTACAAGCATTTTTGTCATGAGTGCCCTTACTCCCTTCGTCCTCCCTTCTGGCATTTTGCTGGTTCCGCGTCCACTTTGTTCATCAACGTTTGTCCGTTTTCCATCGCTCCTTGAACGTGACACGCCAACATGAGCAGCAAAAGCAGAGGCTGAGAGTTGCTTTTTGGATTATTTTGACCACAAGCTTGGCTTCCATTTCACCTCCAAAACGGTTTTGCGCGACTCGGTTTTAATCCAAAGAGTGTAGAATCCAGGGAGGCCATTCGATTCCTTGGTCAAAAATTATTATTTTGTTATCATTCTTATTATTTAATTACATTGTTATTTCTTTTGTTCGGGTTCTTGCTTTCATATTTGCAGTCCTTAAAAAAATAATAAATTAAAGAGTCCAGAACCTATGCTGCTGCTTTTTTTTAAAGTCTCTTCTTAAAAAGTAACAAAAACAGTAAAGTTAAAATTTAAAACAAAAATATTTTCTATGTATAATACATGTATTTAGTGCTTCCGCCATTGAAATCCAAACTGAAAATGGCGCCATGTTTCTGAACCGTACCGCAAAAAAAGGAATTCCAGCGATCGTGAACAGGTCGCTTGTGTTCAAAATTTTGTCAAGTCGGGGATGTACAGGTCTCAATTGTCCTCCGACTCCTCCTCCGCCTCACGTAGCCACGTGAAAAAGGCCGTCACCGACTTGAGGGCAACGCCTTTGCCCTCCTGCTCTGCCGGATCTTTGCTGGTCTCCCACTTGTTGAATGCATCCTCCGAAATGACGTCCTCGTCATAGAGGCAGTCGAAGAACATCCGCAGGAGGTCTGGCAGACAGCGAAGACAGAACTGTCAGAATTCATTTTGTTATTGGGGTTAAGGAAAGTAATTAGTAATCTGTGTTTTCGCAGCCGCTTGTGCACTTTTAATCACATTACTGAACCAGCATCACAAGGTATTAACCACAGGCATATTCTTAGGCGACATGCCAATGGCCTCAACTGACGCCGTCGCCGTGTCTAACTACATTGTCATTCAGTGTTAATGTATATTGCGATAATTGTAAGTTTTTACAAATTGTTAGAAATAAATTAAAAATATATTATTCACTGACTTTCACATCACTTAGAAGGCCACTGCCACCTCCTTATATATACATATGCATACATGCATCCATCCTTCCATTTTCCGATCCGCTTATCCTCACAAGGGTCACGGGGGGTGCTGGAGCCTTTCACAGCCGTCTTTGGGCAGTAGGCGCGGGACACTCTGAACCAGTTGCCAGCCAATTGCAGGGCACACACAGACTAACAACCATCCACGCTCACACTCATGCCGAGGGACAATTTGGAGTGTTCAACCTGACTGCCATGCATGTTTTTGGAATGTGGGAGGAAACTGGAGTACCCGGAGAAAACCCACGCAGCCCGGGGAGAACATGCAACCTCCACACAGGGAGGCCGGAGCTGGAATTGAACCCAGTACCTCTGCACTGTGAGGTAGACGCGCTAACCACTGGACCGCTGACATGCATACAGTGCCATGAAAAAGTATGTCCCCCCTCCTGATTTCTGTTTTTTTTTTTGTATGACACACAAATGTTTCAAACATCAAACCAATTTTAACATCACTCAGAAATCCCAAGGAAATACAAAATGCAGTTTTCAAATGTCAATTCAATTAATTAAGGCACAAAAAAAAATAAAATTCAAAGCTTTCTGACCCTCTGTGGAAAAGTAATTGCCCCCTGAACATAACGGGTTGTGCCACCCGAGGCAGCAATAACTGAAATGAAGCATTTGCGATGAGTCTTTCACATCGCCCTGGAGGAATTTTGTCCCACTGTTGTTTACAGAATTGTTTCAATTCCACCATATTGGAGAGGTTTTGGGCATGAACTGCCTGTTAAAGATCACAACACAGCATCTCAATTGGATTTAAATGCAAAATTGGACTTGGCCACTCCAAAACCTTAATTTTATTTATTTTTTAGCCATTCAGAAGTAGACTTGCTGATGTATTTCGGATCATTGACCTGCTGCATGATCCAATAGCGCTTCAGTTTGGGGGTACGGACGTTCTCCTTCAGGATTTTCTGATACACTGCACAATTTATTGTTCCATCTTGGAGTGGGGCTCACTGCCGGATGCCTGGTTGACGAGCCTTGAGCCGTGGGGTCCAGCCAGGCTCAGCCCGAAGAGGCAACGTGGGTCCTACTTCCCATGGGCTCAGTACATATGGGAGGGGCCAAAGGGGTCGGGTGCAAGGTGAACTGGGTGCAGCCAAAGGTGGGGACCTTGGTGGTCCGATCGCCAGCTGCAGAAGCCAACTCTAGGGACATGGAATGTCACCCCTCTTGCAGGGAAGCAGCCCGAGGTGGTGTGTGAGGCAGAGAAGTTCCGACTTGACAGTCGGTCAGACTTGCCTCCACACAGCCTGGGCTCTGGTACAAGTTCTCTTAAGAGGGGTTGGACTCTCTTCCACTCTGGAGTTGCCCATGGCGAGAGGCCCAGAGCAGGTGTGGGCATACTCATTGCCCCGCAGCTCAATGTCTGTACAATGGGGTTCACACCAGCGGACGAGAGGGTAGCCTCCGTCCGCCTTCAGGTGGGGGACAGATCCTGACTGTTTGTGGCTATGCACCAAACAGCAGTTCAGAGTATCCAACCTTTTTAAGAGTCCTTGGAGGGTGTGCTGGAGAGCGCTCCCTCTGGGGTCTCCCTCGTTCTGCTGAGGAATTCAATACTCATGTGGGCAATCACAGTGAGATCAGAACTCGGGTGGTGTTTTGTTATTGGACTTCTGTGTTCATCATGGATCGTCCAGAATGAACACCAAGTTCAAACAGATGTGGACTTGGCATAGGACACCTCTGGCCGCAGTTCGATGATTGACTTTGTGGGAGTATCATCGGATTTCATGCCGAAGATGCCGGACCGAACTGGCAGACCCAAATGTTTGTGAGGGTTTGTTGGGAGCATCTGGCAGAATCCCCTGTCAGAAGGAGTTTCGACTCCCACCTCCGGATACACACACGCACATGTGCACGCACGTCCGTACGCACGTACAGTTCATGATGCCCCGCCATAACCATACACGCCAGCAACTTGGGTTAGCACTCATGAGGGAGGGGAAAAAAAAGTGCAAAAGGATTGAAGGGAAAGCTGTGGCAATGAAGCGAAATTGTTGATGTTGAATCAACCTGTTTTTACTGTTTTCAAAAAATGTTCCACCCCTAATATACATGAGTGTTCAGAGTGGTCACGGAACATGGAATAGATTTAACTTGTATCTGAAGGAAAGGTGGTAGTTAGTGAAAAGCTTTTGCGAGTCAGTGGGTGAAGACGTTAAAAATTAAGAGGCACTTACTCTGAGGATGACAGAAGTCAAGGTAAACTAACGAGCACGAGCTAAAGTAACCTGTTAGGCGGACACTTGCAGCATCCCAAGTGACGATGGAGCACTTACTGGGAGGCTGATCGAGGGAGACTATCAGCGTCTGAAGTGCATAAAGTGCTTGCAGCTGTCGCTCAGTGTCTGAGTTAAGGTACTTGAGTAATACGGGGAGTCTCCTCTGGATGATGGCTGTGTCTACTTGACAGTTGGTGCCAATGTCTGCCAAATAAGCAAGAGAGTGAGTGAGTGAGTGAGTGTGTGAAGAAATAGAAGACTGGGTTTACCTTTCACCGCTGCCTTGCACACGGCTGTCATCAGCGCCCTCAAGAAGGGCGACGAACTCATCTGATGTTCATCCAGGTTTGCCTGGGTGGCACGTAAAGCACAAATAAGTCTAATGTGTTCTTAAACACTACATAATACTTCACAAACATACATCAGTAATTCCCACCCACTGTGCCGTCGCACATTAATTAGTGTGAGGTGAAGATTAACAGGTGTGTTGTGGGAAATGACCTAATTTCACCCAATTGGTCTAAAAATAATTCTTAACCACAATAATATATCTTGCTTCATCTAGGCAAAACCATTAAATGCTCCTCCACTAACCTGTCACCTGTTGCTGTTTATACAACAAAATAATAGCTAATAGTTCCCAAATTCCACACAAGTTATGTATATTTGCGAGGAGTAGCAGCTCCCCTTAAGAACTCTGTGAGGGCCGCTACATACCTCCACCCAGTCAAAGATCTGCTCATCGCTGGCCATGTCCGCCAGCAGGAGCCTCTCCAGCTGCTGTCTTAGCTCCTCAGCGGACAGAGTCTTTTTGGCAAGAGCTGTTCCAGGGTCCGTAGCGTCCGACAGGATGAACTCCAGCTTCTGTTTGCACGAGGTCAGCGTCAGTGCAACAAAGATAATTCTGTTGACCGCAGCTATGTGATGGTCACAGAAGCGGGTGGGGGTACCTGTTGTGAGAGAAAGGCCTGGACATCTTCTCCCTCCGGCAGGAAGTCAGACCAGCTGAGGTCAGATTCCCTCCACAGAGAACCCACAGCTCTATGGCTCTGAGGAGACAATCGGAATGCATTATGGATCAATTAATGAAGAAAAAGGAAAAACGTGAGGATAAATCACACAGACGAGCTGCTGTTAATAAAACCACACGATAACAATTGCATTCATTATAATACATCAATAAGAAATTTCAGCTCTGAAACAGCACTTATTTTGCCTTAAATCATTTCCGCTAATAGAGACTGTGCTCAAACTAATTGCTGTTCATCCCCATCAGGCAGGGTTGCCCAACCAGTCGATCGTGATGACCGGTTGTGTGTGTCTATTATTCTTAGATATTTATGTGTTAGTGTGCACTGCACCCTAAGCGTCCTACCTGCTTCACTTTCACAAAAAAAGTATTTTGAAAAAAATCAAATAAAAAAGCAGGTCACCTTTAACCTACAGTCATGCGTGACCTCCATCATCGGAATTTGTTAGTAGTCAGCAGTCTGCAATTGCAGCTTGCGATCAGAGCTGTTGTGATACAGTTTTGTTTTAATGAAATTATTTCATTAACGCCCCGCCTTTTTTTTTTTAGAATGATAACGTGACGATGACGAGCTAAACGTGGCTCTTTGACGGCGAAAATATGACGTGACTTATGTGAGTTTTCGTTGACGAGACTGGATGGAATTGTTAGCGTGTGGTATGTCCGACGTTCAAAATGCACATCAAGCGTGATACAAAATAGACGGATGTAATCTGTTAATAAAATCCCCCAACAGAGACCCCCCACATCTGCACTATCTGTCTATCAAACAGTTATCTTTGTCCGCATGCACCAGCAAGCAGGTTTAAACATCAGATGAAAATGTCGCTTACCATTTGTTTGCATAGTATGTGCAGTATTTGAGATATGAGAATGCCTGCTCTTCCCACAGCTAACAAAGGTTTGCGTAATTCACTGTGGACACAAAAGCATTTTCAAAACCACTGTGTTCAACTACGGCACATTGATTCTTCTCATCAAACCGCAGGGGTGGCACCTGAAGAGCTCTCTCATCGAGAAACATCCGTCCTTTAGCACGGGGGTTAGTAGCTGGGCCAGGTACAGCCAGATATGCGGAATGTCGATAGCCATATCATCCGCCTGCTCCAGTATGTCAGCAAACCTGAAAGCACAAAGTGAGCGAAATTGTAGCCCTTCTCCAACTTTAAAAGCTATGAATAATCGCTTGCCAATGTGCAAATTCAACAATATCCACGGTGTCCAACAGTTTTTCTCATCCAACTAAATGTTGAACCTGTTCAAAATTTGATGGTGACAAGAGAAACTTCTCGCAACAACTAAAACTGTTTGGGAATGCCCGGCGAATGTCTCCGCAACTGTTTGCAACACACCCTGACAAAAAACATTCACTACGTGTGCATGCACTTCATTTGAGGAGCAAAATTACAAATTTTGAGGACAGTTTTTTTTTTCTCGGTTAATCCCAAGTACCTCAAGCAATGGTTTTATTAAACAATAAAAATATAACAATGTAATGGTGCAGTTGAATGGAGGGCTGCAGCGGTTGATTATTTCAGTATTCGAGTATCCTACTGAAGATTGCATAGAATAACTGTGGATTTTGGGATATATACATCTCACCCAATAACAAATAATCAACAGATTTTATTTTTTAAATCCACACTGCAAAGAGGAAACTGTATTTTGTCTAGACCAGTGTTTCTTAACCTTGTTAGAGGTACCAAACCCAACCAGTTCATATGCAGATCCACTGAACCCTTAGTGAAAAATAAAAATATGATTCGAGAGAAGTGTTCATTCAGTTTGGCCGGTGCGAGACGAGAGTTGCACAACTTGACATGACAAATCATGCAGATAGGACGCCAAGTCACATCACGTTCCGTGATGCATGTAAATCCATGTTGGACATACAGTATTCATCCAACCCCCTTTTTTTTTTTTTTGCTCGACATAGCATGTGTTAAAACATGAAAAGGTCGTGTTAAAAAAAAAAATAAAATCACACCATGTACTATCATGACAGTCACACACTGAATATTGAGGGAACTAAATTTCCCGCAGCACTGATTGGACAAGCAATGTCATGTGATCATCCACAGCCAGTGATGGCCAAGTGGGCAGGTCATAACTAATTGATATGTTGAGTCGGCTGTGTCTTAACTTCCATGGCAGAGGCTCCGTCGAACCCCTGAGACTGATTCACCGAACCCCTGGGGTTCGATCAAACCCAGGTTGAGAACCACTGGTCTCGACCATTCTTCAGTGGTCTATTTCACCAAATATAAATTTAATCATAAAATTCGCATTTCTTGTATAAAAAGCATAAGGCATTAAAAAATGTTACTTGAGCAGCTAGCATTTTAGCATGAAACACAATATTACAGCAGGTTCATGGCTGTGCGTTTATGAGCTCAGACCAACTAATAAAGAATAAGACAAATATTCCACATTACAAGTATCGGAATTTTTGTATGTGTGTGTGTGTGTGTGTGTGTGTGTGTGTGTGTGTGTTTTTGGAAATCACTCGATGTGTGACGGGCATAACAAGTTATCGTTCACTCTGTGATTCTGTAACATTTGGCAGCTTTGCATTTTGCCACATAAACACCAGCCCATTCAGTTTTACTCTTCAGTGTGTTCATTTGAGGGACAAAATGCACATTTTACATTGCAAACAGTGATGCCAAACCGCTTATTTCGAGCCTTGATATATACGGTTGGTTCGCAAAATGTGTGGCCCAGCCTGATGGTCAAATGTCGAATGACGGACTGGCAAAATGTTGTAAATTGCCCACCTCAGAGGTGGGGTGTAAGTAGTTAGCTAGGTATAAGCTCTTTGGGTCGGTAGGTACCTAAAAAGTTAGGTAGGCAATTGGGTAGGAAGGGAGGCAGGTCCCGTTATTTTCATTCTAAGCCTGTACAGTGTGCATCATGAGTGTGAGGGATACCGACGGACTGACCCTTTGTAGAACTGGTCTTTTGGCAGTACTCTCTGTTGCACCAGCTGAAAGAAGAGCAGTCCCATGTGATCCCGTGTGATCTGACTGCGCTCCAGCGTCGACTCCACTCCGACGCGCACAAAGGTGTGCAACTGGGGGGCTGAAACCAGCTCGTCCACACACTGAACAGCCTCCTGCAGGGGGCGGGATACCACAACGGTCAAGTCAATGTACTACTGAAAGAAGGTGATTAGAAGTCCAGTGAATCTCAGCACCTTGTAATCGTTAATGTGGAGAAACTCGTCAATGATGGACTTGGACTTCCTCTCCATGTCCTCCTCAGACAGGACCAGCCTCTCTGGCATCTGTGCCACTGGCTCAGGTTTAACTGATAGGGTATTGTCACATCAGTGTCAGTTTGAGGCGATTTGGGTTTTATTATTATTATTATTAATAATAATAATAATCATTTTACACTATTATGGTTGCTATTTGATTGACCTTTCTTACCTGGCTCTCTGGTCCTGCCAATCTCTGGTTTTGGCTCCGGTTTATCTTCTGTGATACTCGGTCTGCGGGCCTTGACAGCCTCGCTCTCCCGCTCCCTCCGTGTCTCTTCCAGAGGATGGCTATCTCGCAGCTCCTTGGAAGCGTCGCCCCTGCTGTAAGACGCGAGCCTCGGCGACGACGACAACAATGGCGTCGTGTGGACCTGTGGCTTTTCACTGCACTCCCGCACTATGCTGCTACGATTGCTGGACGTGAACAGATAACATGGCAAACTGTAGTTGGAGGATTTACAGTAGTCTTGGTGTCAGATATATTCAAATCAATGATAAAATAAATAAATGCAACACATTTGTTTTTGCTTCCATTTTTTCGGAACTTTCTTATTACCATTTGTTCATGAAAGCAATTTAAAGTGCACCCGCAGCTGCGTCTATCCTTGACCACTTGCGAAGAATTACGTTCTAACTAAATGTGGCAGCCTATATCAAATTAGCTAACAACAATACTTTGCGTTGGCGATTATAGACAGACTGTTGTGGTACGCAGGTTCCGCTTTACAGTAGACAAACTGCACTTTGTAATCTTTTTTTAAATGTAAAATGAGCCTAAACTTTGGGCATTCTTATACTGAATCTTTCCTTCTGGCTCTCATCGTTTCAGCCACGCAAATTGTACTGCTTTACTACTCTTTTTAATGGGGTGATGTTTGAGTGTTTTTATTACGATATATAACTCAGCACTCAACAATGGCAGACTCCTCAATCGATGTTATAGAGTGTACCTACACGAGTTTGCAGAGGTCAAGATTCCATCAGTACTGACGGAAGGTCTGTCAGTGAAGGAAGCCATTTTGCTGGCAATGATGCGAAACTTCTCAAAACTGACTGAGTCAGTATAGATGGAAGTGGATTTGACTGTCTTGAAGTAACGACAGACTGTCGATGACCGACAGATGGCCCGGCCACCAACGAATAACGTATTGGCAACATTTAGTGACGTACTCAGCTCTGCCAGTATGTATATGCACCCACCTGTGTATGTAGTTCAATTGTTTGCTCACCTTCCGAGACTCGTCTTAGAATCAAAATCTGAATTCTGTGGAGGATTCAAAGCGGCTTGTTGAGACGAGAGTGTCGACTGCAGTGCAGAGTAGTGGTTGCTGCCACTCCTCGAAAGTTCTGAAAGAGGGGAGGGGGAAAAAAAGGGTGAGAACATGAATGAATCTAGTCATTATTCATTACATAATAAAATATATTCAGAGAGACAGAGATGATATTGGAAATTGAAGCGTAAGAATCAGACCTGAGTCGCTGGCCTTGGCTCCGCCGCTGCTGCCCTTCACCCACGTGACTTGAGCCCGCGGGCCAAGCTGGATCTTCTCATCCATCTGAGGCTGCAAGGAGAAGTGAGAGAGAGAGAGAGAGAGAGAGAGAGAGAGAGAGAGAGAGAGAGAGAGAGAGAGACACACACACACACACACACACACACACACACACACACACACACACACACACAAAGAGTGGTGATGCCAACCTAAGTAAGACTTTAATTTACAGGACAATGATTTGTCTGTGTTGAATTCAAAACATTCTGATTCTGATCTGAAGATAGAGCCCGTGTGTGTGTGTGTGTGTGTGTGTGTGTGTGTGTGTGTGTGTGTTTATGCTGCCATAGCGCAAATGCCAATTGTATCAGTTAAAAGCCAAACAAATTGAAATTGTGTTACTTAAAACATGCAGTGTAAATTCAGCCTATAACATCTGAATGTACTTTATACAATAAGAACACTCAGCTGCCAACAAATCCAGTATCACACGTCGTCCTGCATGAACAGGACAACATACGGTAAATTGAGGGCCTGAGACGTTCGAACTCTAACACATTCAATCCCCACCAGGAGGAGCCCTGGAGAAACTAACTGGACTGAGTTCCACATGATCATCCAGTAGGGGGAGATGCTGGTGAATCAGACGAGGACATGGCCCATATTGACACGCCTTTTTTATCATTCCTGATTGGTCCATTTCTTAGTAGTTCACTGTGTTATTTTATTCTACATTTGTTGTACAGGACAATAAAACCGTTTGAAATGAATGAAAAACCAAACAATGTTAACAAAATGTTTAATTACCTTTGCTGTCAGTACCAGTGCTTTAAAACTGGCTATTTAAAAGCTATTTAAAAAAAAAATGGTTGTCACTCTGCGAGCTGCCTCAACTGGTCTGTGACAAAAAAAATATTGGGGACCAATGCTGTACATGATATAGATATAGATATACATAGGTGTCAAACTCAAGTCCTGGAGGGCCGCTGTCCTGCATGTTTTCCAAGTCCCCCTGTTGAATAACAGGTTCAATATCAGGCTTGCGCAGACCTTGCTGATGATCTGATCATTTGATTCAGGTGTGTTGCAACAGGGAGACTTTGAAAACATGCGGACAGCAGCCCTCCAGGACCGGAGTTCGACACCTGTGATATAGAATGTCACCAAATCAAGTCAACAACAGTAGCAGCAGCAGCTCATAAATCCCAGAGTAGTGACATTGCAGTGGTAGCTCACCTTGGAGATCTTTGGGATCTTATTAGGGTCAATGGTCCTGCTGTTCTTGTTCACGGGCACAGTATTCCAGGTCTCTTCTCTGGGCATGCGCGGCTCTCTCTGCTCTCGCAGATCTATGCAACAAAATGTGACGAATTCACCATGACATTCAAGGGGTTAGACCACAGGTCTTAAACTCAAGATCTGGGGCCCAGATCCAGCCCGCCACATCATTTTATGTGGCCTGCTAAAGCAAGTAATTCCTTGAGCGAGGATGGCGCTGTATGATCGGCGTCAAATATCAAACATGTTTTAACAATTTCAGAGCTCGTGTGTAGGGCACAGGAGGCAACCACACACAGCTGTTATTCAGGGCACATGCGGTCCTCATATACCAAACACGGCGCAACCTGTCAGTAGACAGTATTTCAGAGGCTCACCTGGAGGACAAATTACTTACTAGCAGCTATGAAACAAAACATATTTTGGGGAAGTAATGGGGAGGGGGGGGGGTTGTTTGCAGGCTTCATAGCCATGCAAATGTAGCTGGAAGCCATATAAGGAGTGTTAGCAGGGAGGGGGGGCTGACCTCCTCGTCGCTTGTTCTCCTTGGAGAGCAGTTGCTGGTGCACTTTTCTCTGCTCTTCCTGCTCTTCAATTTTGGCCTCCTTGTGGATTTGCTCAATCGTTTTGGGCCCCTGGTCGGCTCTTCTGGACACCCAGTTGTGCTGCAGAGGGATCAATAGCGGCAGTGTGAGGTTTAGTGGTCTCAAACTGCATGGCAATACTTTTAATTTAGGGACGATTTTAGTTTCAGAGAATTGAGATGCTCCTTAATATGGCAGTGTGAGAACAACCTCCGGTCTCATTTTTCAAAACATTGTTTGGATGACAGAAATTTTAAGTCTGTGAGTACAAAAAAATATCTGTATTTCAGTGATAATTTTACAGTTTGAGCCCTGCGAGTCCCAGGGACTCACTGATCAGAGAATTATGAGTCCCATTATGCATTTAGAGAGTCCCAAATTTTGAATTCTGAAATGGTCTACTAATTCAATTGCATATGATAACAACACAAACAACAACAATATACATTGATAATAGGTTTATTTCTTCTAAACAAATGCTGCAAAAATTTAAATAATTCAGGCATACAAGATTTGCTGAGAAATAGGTTATTTCATCCCATGGTTCAGTCTTTGAGTTCATATCTACGCAATAAACGTTTGCAACACTTGTTCGCAACACTTATTTTAACGTTACACAACTTGGCAATCATCTGCTTTCCACGAAGTGACGGCCAATCTCGCCAATCTCGTCACGTGAGAACGGAAATCTCGTCACGCGAGATTACTTAACGCGAGATCAAAACAACAATGGTGGCGATTCAAACTGTGTTCGTTGCTGGAAAAAAAGATTTACGTAGGTTTTTTTTTTTTTTGGACTAATAAATTTCCTTGCGTCCCAAAAATGCACATTATTTGGAACTGTGCGTCTGGAGGGAAAATTATGCATCTGGGACTCGGGACGCAGAGGTAAAGAGATGGCTGGTGTTTATTAAACATGCGGACATCTGTCATACGCACAACCACTAAGTAATGCGTGTTGATAAATCCCACCTGTTCAAAATTACCACGCTCACACACGTCTACCCTCGTTTGCATGAGCGTCTCTTATTGACCATATATAGTAGCAGCAATCCCTTTAAGAAATCCAAAACCATGTCAAATAGGGCAGAGAGAATATCAGAGACCGACATTAGCCGGGTTTACATTTAGATTTTTCTGTCAATCTGATTGAAATAATTTCAAATGATCATTTTCAGTCACCTGTTTTCATGTGACTTGATCTTTTCCAATGTGCCCTTTCTGTTCATCAGATCAGCCATGTTACAGCCGTGTGACATGTGGAAATCGATGTAAACATCACTTGATTTATCAAGGAGGAGTTCATTCATCAATCCTAGTAGTTGGGATAGTTTTACTACTTTTATTAAAACAACATCTTGATAAAAACAAGTTCTCTTGTCGCAGACGAGCTCTGGTAAGACGCTGCCATTTTAAAGTGCGTATTCAACGGCTTCGCTTTTCTGATTGAACTGTTTACATGACGCTCGTTCAGATTGCCAAATGGAACATACCACCCCTTTGAATCTGATTTTTATTTTTTGCAGAGTGAGAGCAAATCTAAAACTTTTTAAATTGATATATCGCCTAGCCTTACCGACTAGTAAGATACTTGTCTGAGAAGTAAATAAATAAAAAGTTTTTAAAAAGTAAATAACTACTGTTTGGAACAATTAATGCAAATGTCAGTTTAAAAAAAAAAAAAGACTATGTCATGACATAGGCCAAGTCCACCAACTCACCAATCTCTGGTCAATGACATCCTGCAACATAAAGCGTATCCGAGATGACGTCTTCCTCTCCTTCACTATTTTTTCCATCTGATTGAAATATTGATCCATTCGAGGCTGAGTAGAGGATGAAATTAAACAAGAAAAGAGCTGATGATTCAAAAATGTAGGGGCGTAGGGGATTGGTTTTTCTGTGACTCCTTCAACAGTTTCATTTCAGATGTTTGCAGACAGACACAATGTCATCATGGGGCTCACCTTGGCTTTTTCAAAGTCAAGGTCTTTGCCGATGGTGGTGAGCAACCTGCACAGGCACTCAAGAGATTCTTCGTCGTGGTTCTTCAGCAGCTTGACCACGCAGTCATGCATGATAGCCTCCGTCAGCATCTTGAGCTTGAATAGCTCCCCGATGAACTTGATGTTGCCAATGGATCGCCGCCGCGCTTTGTCCTTGGCTTCCTCTAACTCCTCTTGAAGTCGCTCACGCTCTGTGGACTGCGGGGACATAACAAAGAAATACATAAATAAAATGTAGAAATAATAAATGTATAAAATTAAACGCACAGTGAATGATCCAAAGCGGCTTTGAGAATCTATAATAAAGCTCTAACAAAGATTGGCGAACCAATGAGCCAATTGAATTTCCAGAGGCAAAGTGGCTGATGGGTTAATATCCGGCCTTTTTCTGTGGAGTTTGTATTTTCTATCCAAGGAGTGCTGACCCTTTTTTTTGACCAAACATCTACTTTTCAAGCAACCAACCTCCCGCGATCGACCCATTACCGCATGTGCGCACATACATACACACAGGCACGCGCATACCCGTGCACTCGCACACAGACATATATATTTTTTTTCATTTGCCCCCTCAACCCTCGTGATTGACTTGTGACCAGTCCCAATCATGATCGACATTTTGGGCACCCCTGTTGTAACTGCACCTGCTTGGTTTCCTCCCACATGACAAAAATATGTATTTGTCGGTGAATTCAACACTCTAAATTGAATGAGCATGTTTAGTTGTGTCCTGCAATTTGGCTGGCAACCGATTCAGGGTGTACACCCCATCTTGCCAAATGATAGATAGGGCACCCAAGACATTGGTGAGGATAAAACGGTTCCTAGAATGAGTGAATGAATGAATGATGCACAAGTGATGATCTCTCATGACACGGATTGAAAAATCACTAGCCTAAAAAAAAATGTCTGTATATACCGAATCGGCAGAGTCCAGCTCTTTCTGCTTCTTCTCAAACACCACGTCGTCCACTTTGTCCTTCTCAAACTCCTTCTGGCAGCGGTGGAGCAGCAGTTTGCGAAAGTTGACTGTGTTGTTGGGCTTGTCTGCTATTTGCACTCTGAGCTGTACCGTACAACACAGACACAGACAGTTTAAATAGAAAAAGAGATTGTGAATATCTAGCATTTGCACAAAATAATGCTTGTTGAATGATCTATTTACACTTGATTTGTTTGTGAGCAGAACAATGCAAAAACTGCACGTTTGACGACAGTTTTTTTTTTTTTTTTTTTGGTAAAATGAAATTGATTTTTGTTATATGTTCTCAGTGAGTAACACATCAATGGTAATGACAAATTGCATGAGGTACAAACAGGTGGCCCTTGGTTTCTGTTCGTACGGCAATGGCGTTAACTCGAATTTAGGGTTGTCCTGACCACATCACGTGATCAAACTCAGGGCAGATCAGGTGATTTTCAGATGATTGCATTGGTTGGAAACGATTCGATTTTTAGACGTTCTTAATTTTTAAAGGGATATGTATGCCATATGCAGCGGTAAAAGGTAAATATTTTGTCTTGAATTATCATTTGAAAACAATTATTTTTCATGCACATGTAATGACTTTAAAAACAAGGTTGAAAATAATATAGCTGGCCACCATGTTCATTCAACACGTCACTAGGTAACTTTGGACTAGACTGCACAATGATATAACACACACAGCTATGCTAGATCAAATGCGTTAATCCACAAAAAAAGTGTCCTCCTATCTTGCACGCATGATGAACAGAGTGCTTGATATGGAGTCTCAGTGGCTTAATTTATGAGTGCAGACTCCGCTCACATAATAGACATTATGAACAACCAATAAGCCGCCGCCTGAGCCTGATGACGAAGGCTTGACAGGATGCACAGATCCTTCCTCTGTCAGTTAAACTCATCTCCCATCTCTGGCTCGTTAAAAACACTCGGCACGGTGATGGTTTTAATGTCACCTGTGCGGTGTGTCCCCGGTCAAACGGTAAACGACTTCTCTTGGCTAAAATGTTCACTGCACATGCGTGCATGCCTGCCTGTCGTGATGCACGTCAGGGGCTCGACAAAACTTGCTTCAATATACTTGGTAAAAAATTAGGGAATAACATGCTGGTATCTTGTTTGCTGTTTCCACATATTCTTTTGATGTTGTATGCATTGTATGTAACCTTGAAACGTCATATGTTTAGACAGCTGTTTCTTTAACGCATACAATCTCAAATTAAAATAGTTCAGCCTCTGATTTTTTCCTGAATTCTTTGTAGCATTCCATACCTGCTGAGGATAAAAGCTTGGTAATATCGATTTCAAGGTTTTTTTCAAGTTGTCACCTCAAATGAATTACTCTATCAAAACCTTTGTGATATGAAATGGAGTAAAATCCTAAAAAATGATCTTAAGTAAATTTTTCATCAAGTCTGAAATTAATTGACGGAAAAAGGCTGAAAAAAAATATTGATGAGTTCACGGCTACACACTTTTGCCCACAAAGACTTCCAAAGTGTGCAAAATGCATCATTTTAATTTCTATGTGTATTAGTGAGTGCAGCTTTCCCTATGAAGGTTTGAGGCAGAGATTTTGCTTTTAATCTTTTTTAATCAGATTAGTTCTTCGATTAATCGTTGCAGCTTTACCTCAGCAAGGCACCGACACATGTTTCCATAGGCAACAGAGAAGCTGGGCTCATCGATGGCTTTCTCGAAGACGAGATCAATCACCCCCTTCAGTCGTTCTTCCGTGTCGATGGTCAGGTCCGTCACCTGCTTCATCAACTGGCTGAACTTCTGAGGCGTGAGCTTGTTCAGAATGCTGCGCACCTTCCTGAATAGCTCCTGAAGGAGGCAGGACCCCACCAAAAAAATGCAGCAATTCTACCTGGATATGGTCGGTAAAATACACTTTCCTACCTGTGTCCTCAACGTCTCTGGGTCGTCCACTACACATTCCCGCTTGGAGCCCGGCTTCCAGGCGTTCTCTGCCTTTTGCAGTTTAACTTCATCACTCATCGACACGTTCATGATGATCTTCCTAGGAGGAGGCCGCCGCGTGCCCATGTTCATTAGCTGTGCGGGAAGACAGGAAGTCAATGATAAAAGTTGAAACACAGACATTGTGAAAATGTGATGAAAATACGGATTGTAGTATCTGTGTTCATGCATGTGTCTAAAAGAGGCGGGGCCAGGTGGGGCGGGCTGTTACATTGGCAATTCTGCGTGTGAGTGGCTGGGTGAAAGCTGTGGCTAATAGGAGCTCCTGTGTGAGTGTGCTCGTTGAGTTTGTGTTTTACTTTGGTTCCTGTGCTCAAAAATGGCTGAACATTACAGTGCATAGCGCATAGTGTAAAACAAAATGAAACTGATCACTTAATAAAATGCAATTTTACAGGGAAAACTACAAATATTGATGCAAATGGTGAATAACAGAGCTAATGAGATAATATTCACTGTGCCTCATTTTGTTTACATCTGTGGGTAAAGGTCAAATTGGCCGATAGATTTTTACTGTTACTGACAAACCAAACCACAAGGTTAATAAGCAAGACCGCTCAGAACTAAAAACATAAAAAATGTGTAGTGTTTGACACTTATTCATTTGCGAGACTTAATGTCCTGCTGTTTTGGTTAACAAGAGCGTTAGTGTTGGATCATCAGTAAGATGCGTGTGTGAAATGACTGTGTACGATTACTACCAAAAAAGTCAGGAATCTGTTTGAGAGAGACATTTATTTGTATTGACTACTTGTGTCTATTAGTTATGTGTTGTTATATTAGCGTAGTTTGTTACTTTATGTTAACTGTTCTGTAAAGCGCTTTGTTCCAGATGCAGCTGTTGTGAAAGCGCCATATAAATAAAGCTACAGCAACTAATTAAAGGAGACAAAAGAGTTCTGTCAAATTTCCAAGACTGATGTCACAAAACGTATATTTTCAACACAAACTAGAAAATACAGGTTTCTCCACCCGGCAGATGATCACTTATGATTAATTCGGTAAGTACATGATTGTGGTTTGAATCAAAGTAGTCACTGAGCTCCATAAGATTTTGTCCTGTTATTTATGCAACTCACCATCGCGCCTCTTGCACCGCTCATCTGTCTACCAAAGTCTGCGAAGGCCGGTGTGAAATCGGGTCCCCTGGAAATCACCCTGGGATCCGCCGCTCGAGAAGGCAACTTGTTATGGTTCATCTGCAATGGCATGCATGTCAGATTAACTGAAAACTCTAAATTACCCATTAAGTGTGAATGCGAGTGCAATTGTTAGTTTTGTTTGTTTGTTTGTTTTTTGTTTTGTTTTGTTGTTTTTTAAAATCCCCTGCAGTTGACTGTTGACCAGTCTAGGGTATGCCTCATTTCTCTCGCTGATGGGAAAGCACTGTAGAAAATGGATGCAAAAACATGAGTTAATCCTCAGCAGCAGGGGGCGCAGTAATCCCGCATTAATATTGAAGAAAAGGACTTAGAAAAAAAGAAAACTGCATTTATGACAAAGTTTAGCCTAAAGGTGACCTGTCGTAACCGAAAAGGCGTCCAACGTTATCAGTTGTATTGCATGGGGAATTTATTTTATTTTTTTTAAACAGTCCAGCCTGTACATTATGTAAGCCCTGCTCAGTGGGATGACCAGGGAGAAAAGTCAGAAGCAGATGTGGGGGGAAACAAAGCAACGCATGAGCAAGAGGGACGATGGTGGGTAAAGAGACTGGGAAAAAAAATTCAAGAAATGAAAGCATTCATCTTATTGAGCTCTCCTCTTCTCTTTTCCTGTTAAGATCCAAAACTTTTTTTTTCTTACATTGGGCCAGTTTAGCAACTTTTTTGACAGAGGTGGGAGGGGACTGGGAAGGGCATATCAATGCTGCCAAGTGTGACATAATGGCAGTGTGATTTTAATCAAAACAGGATTTCAGCAGACCCCCATGCTCCACATTACACACTCCAATACAAAAATCAGGAGCCTCTTTCACGCCTAAGCATCAATACACCTTTGCGGTTTCAACAATGGAAGTGCGATATTGATGCAACGGTGTGTCCTTTCACATTGCATCCAACAAATTGATCAGTAGATTTGTTGCACAATAATAATAATAATAATAATAATAATAATAATAAAAATTAAAATACTAATAATAAGGCCAAATCAAAATGGAATATTTAATATTTTGTGTAACAACATATTTGCAGAGGTGGGCATGTCGCTATTTTACCGACTGGTAATTTGGAAATTATAAACATGATCAGGTAATGTTCTAAAACAAAAGATATGTGCACCATCCGTATACACTTGAGAGTGAACACAGCGTGTGTGCTGTCAAGGGAGTAGCGGCTGCGTGTCCCTCCTCCCTCTCACCTTCGGCAAGACGATTGCCATTCAGGAAAAATGTGTTTGGTTGGACTGAGCTTAACATTCAACACAAGTGTGGCAAGTTCATGTGACTGATATTGTCCTCATTTCGATGTTAATATCTTGAATGTGCAAATCTAGATTTTGATACGATAAAGATATGTCGCCCAGCCCGACTGGCAATGTTCAAACTTTTGTTTTCCGGTCAAAGGAGCACCTCCTCTTCGCCGCTCGAAGCAACTCTGGTTTAGTCACCCCTGAGCACAAACATCCAAGAAACGCAGCATGTTTCCTTCAATAGTCAGTGAAACGGGAGTTCGTCAGTGATTGACGGAGAAGGTCCGTCGGTCCTGACTCGGTTAGTGACGATTACAATGACAAGACAAAAACTCACTTCCGTCAGTGTTTAGGCCCTCATTTTTTAAGTTTCCTGTAATTCACCAGCAAAGCAGACGTCCATCAGTGACAGATCTTCTGTTAGTACTGAGAAATGCCCACCTCTGGAAATTTGTCTCCTTTTTAGGAGATGAAAAATCAAGACAAGCGCAACAGTAATTGATTAAACAGTCTGAATAATCAGGCTACAAAAGTACTAGTGGGGTACATTGCCTTTTTTGCGCTGCACTGATATTCACTTGTAAAGGCATGAACAAGTTTGACGTACCCCAAAAAAGCACATCTCTGAGCAATGACGCCAGGTTGCCCAAGGCTGAAATGAACTTGTTTTTTTCGCACAAGTTGCTGTTTTTTTCCCTCACTAATAACACAATTAAGCATGATTGTAGGCTGTCATATAAATGCTCAAACAGCTTGTAAGGCATTTATTCAACATCCGACAAGTGGGTTGAACTTTCTTACTAGTTAGGAAAAACAAAAGTGCACCAGTACATGGACCTTAGACTCAATACCAAGGATAGAGAATCCATGCTTGTGCAGGGTTTTCTATAAGCCTGTAGATCAAGACCAGAGTGGTCCATCAGGTGTGGTAGGGAAAAATGTTCAAGCCAACCACCATTTAACCTCTAACAAAGGTTGTACTCACCTTCTCAAGCACCACATCACTGATTGGTGGGAGACCCTCTGGTTTCTGTACACAGGCGGGCATGAATTGGAATCGCAACAAGAAGCCCCTGTCATACTGTCGCTTCTTGCTGGGATCGGACAGGTCTGGACCAACTGGCACATCGTGAGAAAGAGACAAGTGATCATGATAAATCAAATCATTTCTGCTCTTATGTTTATTGAACATTTAAACAGATAAAAATTTTTAGTAGTAGAAGAAAAGATTTATCTACCCCTTGTTATTTGCGTATGTTCATTTGTTTCATATTAATACCATAATAGGTCAATCATGTTGTGTATCCCAAAAGAAAAAAGTACGATTGTAATGAGAAAATTTCAGGTCAATTTCCATGGGAAATTAAGATGGCTGAATTTTGAAAATATTACACACTGAAAAAAAAAAAAATACAAGGAAAGGGGATTACATTCAAGTGTAGATATAAATATTCTGTAACAAGTAGATATCCATTCACAGTGACAGTATTACAAATTAATATAATTTGAATGGTTTAAATATTTTATCAAACAAATCAATTATTTTAGTGAGAACAAACATGATGCGAGTCAAATATTACTAATCCCCGGACTCAACTCATTAAAAAAAATAAAATTAAATAAAAAATAGCAACAAAGTCCCATTCAAAATTTTAAACAAAAAGAGCTCATCCCTCTCCCCCATAAATCCAGTTCAAGATGCAAATGAAAAAGCCTCTTCCTTCAAGCTTCTCAAGCCGAGCCTCTGCATTTTTGCTGAAGCCTTTCAGGCAATGGGCTCTTCATAATCAAATGTACTTGCATAAAATATGCTTGTTTCAATCAAGATTGTGTTAAAATATGACGCCCCCCACTATATTTAACTTTCCTATTAAGAACCAACTTGGGTAAATGTTAGTTTTATTCCCACAAATTCCCATATATTGCCATTAATTTCTGGAATTTTGCAACCCTAATCTTGAGTGAAGTTTCTCTTACCTTCTATGTCCTGTGAGACCCCAGTGGAGTTGTCTTTGTCCCCAGGTGACACACCGCTGTCGTTGCTCTCCGTCTCAGAGGTATGGCCTGCCCCGTTCCTTAAAGGCTCCGGCTCAGCATCGCCGTTCTCCTCTGGGACAGCCAACCTTCTTTCGGCCTCGGGGCTGCTGGCAAGAGCCGGAGCGTCGACAGAGGGGAAGAGCGATGGCAGTGCCCTGGAGCCCCCCAGCAGAGCCGACTGCAGCGCCGGATCCACAGTGACAGGATCCACAGGCTGAGGCTTGTCCTACAGCAAGAGTTCGTATCAACAGGTGCCTCAGTTTATAACCATGCTGGCATACTACATTTCAAGCTCACACACGATATGCAATGAACCATCTTAGTTTGCACAGTGGCAAAAAGAAAACGGCACAAGAAAGCAAAAACATTCCTGCTGCACTTGCTGTCAGGTGTTTGCAGCCAGCGGCATGCAACGAGTGCCCAGCTGTCAACGATGGCAACAGCAAGTCATCTGACCACCGTTGCTTTACTTTCTTTCTTTTCTTCTTTTTCAATGTTGTTGACATAGGCCGGTTTGTAAAATTCACTCTTCATGTTTAAAGGAAGACGATGTGCCTTAAGTTGCACTTTGAGGTCTTTTTCATTCTCATAAAATAAGAAGAAATCTAATTTATGGGCATAAGTGTTGCGCTGAAGCGACTAGTCGTTTATTTCAGCAAAGTTACACTTGAGTTTGGCGCGCATACATCACATGCCCGTAGCGCAAACATGAGCACTTCTTCGTTGGTTGAGTGGCTTCTTCTTGGGTGCGCACTCGGTAGACGAGCATGCGGAAGACGAGCACACAATGAAACTCAAAACTCGTGCTTGTAATTGTGGCCCGACACTATAACGTAGATGCTGTCTACAGCACAAAGTTTTCTGTCCAACATATTTTTGATTGATATTGATCAGTTTTCTATCATGATAGATATTGATATTGGGGGGAAAAAAAACAGAAGCTGAGTTTGAAGATACATTTCTTCAGCAAGACTCCCCTAATTGTGTGAGACGTGATTACTTTTTTCCAGTGATGGTTATCTGACTCAAGTTAGCAAAACTGTGGCTATAAATATTGTAGCTAGTACAAATAATAGCCCTGAAATTGCAGGCTTTCCAAACTCAATTAGGTCAGCAGCGCAAAAGAATTTGGGCCACCTGGTCGAGAAAAGAGATGGAGAAAACGTAGTCGACAAAACCCAGACTGCTGTTCATTAAAGCTTCAAAAAACTGGAGGACCCCCTGCAAGCGTGTCCTTCTGTCTGCCTCGTCCATCCAATGTAATGCTGGTTTGGAGCATTGCCTACAGCGTGAAACTACAACAGGCCATGAAAAAGGCTTTGAAAAACCATGGGTGTGGAAGAGCAGGAAATGGAAGAAGCACACAGCTGAATTTACAAACAGTGTGCTGAATGAGCAGAGTGGATGATAGATAACACCTTGCTTGACCCAAAAGTCAGGTTTAAGCGCTTTCCTGCAGCACACGTGGAAACATTTTCCGCATGATTTATTGCGCCTTTCCGCTACTCTTTCTCTCCAACTGTCTTGCTTCTTTGCTAGGCTGACATTTTTCAGAGGCTTTCATTTTGAAAATGAACACACGCAACTATGTGAAAAATGTCCAAGCATCTTCCTTCTCTAACCTCATTCTCCTGCAGAGGTGGGTCTCCGGCGTGAATCGATTCATTTCGTTTCCTCCAGGTCTTTGGTGTAGCAGCTGAAGTCTCATTTACTGCAAATGAAAGTCACACTTTAGAACTTCCAGCACTTTCCATTTCGTCACACAACACACTTCAGGTTTTAAAGAGTTTGCTTTGAAAGCCAACATTTCACTTGCAATAATAAATAATTTTATGGGTACATACATATAGACAATTTACTTCTGAAATCTGTGTTTAGACAGTTTTTGCCGAAGAACCTGCCCACCCATGAAGTGTGTGTGTTGGGGGAGTTTAGTTTGGGGTCGCACAGCGTAGCCTTTGCCTGCAAGCTGAATGTTCGTGGTATTTGTAAGTTCACAAAATCCCAAGAATCCATTTTGCCCCGAGGCGGCTGATCTGGCTCCGAGCTGCACCACTGGTTGTGCGGACCAAACACAAAGCAACAGGGGGCAGGATATGTGGACAAAAAACAAGATGCACCGATGCCGAGGGACACAAACAAACCAACAATGGCGACACCGGTGGACGAATGCAAAGCTGCTGCAATCAACTCTGGTCTTGCAGAATTACCCACAGTTGCCTTTTTGAAAGAAGAACAATGAGAGGCGCTGTGTGCATTTTTAGCTGGTAAAGATGTTTGTGCTTTGTTACCTACTAGATTTGGTAAGAGTTTGATATCCGAGCATTCCCGCCTCATAGACATTGAATCCACTGCCATGATTGGTCAAAACAAAAGTTTGGTAGGCGTGCACAAGTTGCATTGCCCAATCAGCTCAAAATATTGGAGTGAATGTGTAAATATCCCAAGCAGATCACACTGGAGCAGTCCCAGATTGATACTGTGGAGAACTCTTGAGTGATGTGTGTGATCAATATGGCTCTTGCAAGGTCATGTACGTTGAGCAAGTCTTTCAACTGTACCATGATACCTTGCCATTAAAAATTACACACTAACACTTGTTTTCAGTACCGGTGTTCTAAAAGTGACAGTGACAGAGTTGAAAGAATCCCTGACCAACTGTAATTCAGTGGAATTTAACTTTTTAGATTCAACGCTTCATAAAAATATTATTATTATTATTGTGCTTTACAGGGAGGACACTGTCTTGTTTTAATGAAGACTTAGGCCTAATTTGCCACTGTATTTTAATGTTGGTCCTGATGGTGGTACTTGGAAGAGGTAAATGTTTTTTAGAGGGAATTTGGTGGAAAAAGTTTGAGAACTATTGTAAGTGATTGTGGGCCAGTCCTCTTTTTATGAACTTCTATGGTACTTCAACTACTAGATTTAAAAAATAAAATGATCACATGCAATGAAGGTTTAGATCAAACATTTGTTTCCAGTGTATTCATGTACCTGTAGTGGGGCTCTTCCGAGTAAACGAATTATACTGCGGCTCTGCTTCAGTAACGCCTCCAGGTGCCTCTGCCCTCACCCTGGTGACAAGGTCATTTCTGTCCAGTGGTTGCTTGGGCTCATCAGTCTCTGCTGTGGCCTGCACCAGAGGCGGAAGGCCGGGGGGGAGCATGACACGCAAAGCCGTGATGGGGTTGGAGGTCAGGGTGACGGGCACGACTGCCAAAGTCGCCATGGGAGCCAGCTCGGCAGCAAGGGGCACCTCCGGCCTGATGTCAGAGGGCAATGTTTCCGAAGAGGAGGTCTCTTGGAAAGCGAGAGAAGAAGCAAGAAGATGTGCACTAGATGGTGATGCCGAAGGAGTCTCAGTGGCTGGCATGTCCAAATCGGTGTCAGTATCTGCGACACCATTCACAGCCTTGGAAATCGACAATGGCAAGACAGTCAGAGACAGAGAGGGGGCATTTGAGGGAGGCTTCTCAGCAGTGGGAATACAAGGTGCCATCGAAGAATGTTTGTGGTCCCCGCCAGAGTAAAAAGAAGCTGTCGAGGGTGGCTGGTCACCAGTGTCAACAGCTGTCGGTGGGAGGGCCCCGAGGTCGGGCTGTGAGGCAGAGAAGGCAAGCTCTGGTTCAACAGTGGAAGAGGGTTCTGATGGAGGAGCGCTGGCTTCCAGTCTCTCCAAGGGAGCTTCCAGCTGCAGGACCCCAGGTGAGGAAGACTTTTGGACAAATGGCTCCAATTTTGGTGTCTTATCTGGAAGTAGAGGTAACAAATGTTTGATACCAGCACCAATTAAGAATAACAGCGAAACAGTTGACAAGATGATGTGATTGTAGGTTTCAAATGGTTCAGCCCACTTCAATAAATGTTGAAACATTTCCTTTTTCTTGTAAACCTTCCTTCACCCTTGCATGGAGAGAATTATGTTGACTGAGCTCCAAATCTAAACTTGGACAATGTTTCCAAATTGTCAGCTATTTGATAGTTTGCTTCTTCTCGCGGTGCATTTGTCAATTATCATGCCATGGATGGCAACTCAATGACGAGTCAGTTTTGAGGATTTCTGTGAATTAAGGTGCTGCACAATAACACGAGCACAATAATGAAACAACCTTAAGACCAACAATGCGATGCATCACTGTTGCACAACTGCGTACTGTGACATCACTCGCATCAGGCCTGGGCAACGTAAATGTAGGAAGAGGCCACAATTTTTCATCAGAGCATCGGCGGGGAAGGAAGGGATCACATAGGACCACACACTTCCTCAACAGATGTATGAAATATGTGCATAAGTACAAAATACGTATTGCTAATAGATTTCATTTTTGATCAAATATATACACATCTCTCTCTCTCTCTCGATACACACACACGCACATGCGCACACGCACACACGCACACACACACACACACACACACACACACACACACACACACACACACACACACACACACACGTATATACCCTGAAGTGTTTTCCAGCCAATCGCAGGGCGCACATAGACGAACAACCATCCACGCTCACACTCACACCTGTGACACACCTCGGCCCCTTGGCCCATGGTTGGAAATATGCATTTGAAAATTTAGAGATCAAATTACCGGATTTTCCTCTCTATAAGGCGCTTCGGAGTATAAGGCACACCTTCAATGAATGGCCTATTTTAAATCTGTCTTCATATATAGTGCGCAGCACATTATAAGGTGCATAGAATTGAAGCTACAATAGTGGATGCGGGTGCACTATGCATCCACTAGATGCAGCTACCCAAAGGGAATGCAATACAATACAGCTTTATTTATACAGAGAGCTTTCACAACCACTGCAGCAGTAACAAATCGCTTTCCAGAACATCGGATTATGAGGCGCACTGCCGGCTTTTGAGAAAATTGAATTATCTTAGATACTTCTTGTAGTGAGGAAAATACAAAAGGTTTTTTTTTTTTTTTTTTACGTTTTATTATGAAATGTCATCACAAAGCCCGGTTTGCCCAAATTCTTGTGAGGAATGTTTTTATATTTCCAAAGGCAACACAACTGCTTCCAATGCTGAACAAAGAGGTTAGGCTTTGTCCCAGAATGGACTGTGATCAAATTTGCAAGAGTTTAAGGGAGGAGATGATGTATTGAGTCCCACCTGGCCCTGGTTTGGCATCTGGGGGCTCAGTTGTCATTGCTTGCTGTGACTGCTGCGGGGTCGACGACGGTTCTGGCGCAAAGTCTTCGGAAGAGGCGTGCTGAGGATGGGGAGGGTGCGAGGGCAACTGTAGCTCCGGAGTCTGCCTGCTGCTCAGCGGCTGCTGTGGTTTGAGGTAAAAAACGTGAGGATAATAATGAGGGTGAGGGCAGGAGAACTGAGCAGCACACAAATCAACCAAAGGCACAGAGATGCAAGAAAGCAATAGACAACACAAAGTACACTGCAGAATTAAGCAGAAACAATTAATACAAATAGGGTGTGGTTGTCATATGACGCAACAACAGAAACAACAGGATGAAGTTTGAAGTGAGGGCAGTTGCAGCACAAAGGATGCAGACACACACATGCTAAGAATAACAAAACAAAAAACAGACAGAGGAAATACACTGTTAACATTCGTGAACACACAAGGAGGACAAAAAAACGCCACATCATCCTTTACAGCCAAGCTGATCTTAAAGCGATACTACCCTGAGCCTGTGGAGCACTACCTGAGGGGGGGTTGGAGTGGAGGAAGCAGGCCCGACAGGGGGCGTTGAGTTCCTGCTCCCCGAGCCCCCCGCCATGATCTCCTCGGTGATGTCCCTTCCACCCTGATTGGGGTCGCAGATACGAATCTGGGAGGACAATGGCACGAAAACAACACACCTCACTAAAGCGCACATATCCAACAACAGCTGCTGAGAGGTCCTCTTCGCACACATTTGCAAAAGCGCAATGGCGTTCATCAAGTCGTCTTCTTTTTTTAAAGATCTCTTAAAGTTTCTTTTTTTTCCCCAGAGAAATCTGTAGACCTACCACATCTGTGCAGTAGTCCATCACTAATGCAGTTGTGGAGTCATAGTTTCAGTCCATATTTGTATGAAAAAAACTTCCAGGTTTTAAGTAGGGAAGCATGCTTTTAATGAAGAAAAAAAACCATTGTATTGGGTAACACACTTAAAACAATCAAAGAGAACGAAAAAAAGAAACACCAAAAAAATAGCTTTACAAAGTGTAATTACCGTTAGGTGTCAATGACTTTTTTTTCTTATTTGGCTACTGATTATCGTGAAGGGCTACCAGTTTGATCCATAATTCTGACATAATAAATGTGCTCAAATTTTCTTCAATTGGAAGTAATAATAATTAATTACATCAAGGTATGGATCACGTTAATGATTTTGAACAATATCAACAATTATTAAACAAGGGCGGTACATCTAGAAATTATCAATTCTACAACATTGGGAAGAAATTACAATGTCCCATGACTGGTGAACTATTCTTATAACATGCCCGGGGGATACTCATGTAGTCCTTGGGGTCAACCTGGTGCCCACAGGCACCAACCACATTGATGACCCCTGCAGTATTACCTTAGAAGCCTTGAAACCTCACATGCCAGGATTGTCATGAAGAGAAGACCCGCTGTACTAAAACTTCAGAGGTGAAACACTGCTGAATGAACTACTAAGGTACTCACTGTTTTCTTCTCGCGCTTGGCTGGTGGAGGTTGCTGTGGTGTAGGCACTATGATGGGTGGCGAGGCCGAATACACGGTCTGCCCTGGGTAGTAGGGGGGGCCGGCTGTGGGTACGGCCGCGGGGACAGAAGGTGACACGGGTGGATGGTACCTGAGGGGATCTGGGAGAAAAAAATGGTTTTAATATGTTAAAAAGAAATTGTCACAAATTATACTGTTTGTATAGAGTGTGCCCTTGTGTTGAATTTGAAAAACTTACGATAGGGGGACGGGTACTCCCCTGGTCCAGGACCTGGATAGAAGGTGCCTGACCCCGGGGGCTGGACAGAATACTGGTGAGGAGGTGCCACATAAGCAGTGCTGTGACGATACTGCAGAAAGGCAAAGACAATTATCAGGACGAGACTCCTCTCCAAGTTTGTTTCACACCACAAGGCAACAAAACTGGTATTTTATGGTCAATGGCTTCGTGCTCAAGCTTTCCTTCTACTTTTCACCCCTTCCATTCCTCACAAAAAAAGCAAATCAGCATGGTGACATCGTATACAGGAGGCAGCGTCACAACCCTTGTCAGACTCACTGCAGAAACAATTTACAGCACAAAGAACAGGTTCCAAACAACGCTTCCTAAAGTACAATCCTGGACATTCTGCTGAATTGCCTCAGAGATGAGTGGCATTTCCCCACAAGTGCTGATAGAAAAATATCAGCTTGGAGCTACCAGTGTGAAAACATTTTAAATGGGACATGAACTTTTTTTTTTTTGCCATTTAAAACAGATCTTGTTTTCTTAGGACTTTACTTCACATCAGAATACCCCAAGAATCAAGAAATAACACCCTATTACTTGTCTAACACTAACTCAAATTAGCACATTTTTAGGTATTTTGGCCCTGTCTCATGCAAGTGACTATAAACTCGGCCCATATACTGGTGTGCAAATGCCAAATCATAGCGTAAACCCGTGTTTAATGTGGATAAGTTCCAGATGCACCCTCAATTATTATTTTTCTTTTTTACCCTTCCCATCCACTTGAAAGGCATTTAAGCACACAAACGTATTCCAACACTTTTGAAACATATTTCCACATATCCACATAGGCCTGGTGAGGCGATGTATGATGACAGCAAGGCTATGAGTGAGTGTTTGGACATGAGCTCCCTCCTGTTTGAGTTTGCTCATTGTCTTTTTGTGTTTTACTGTTCTCCTAGCAGAATGAAGGCAATCGAGGCTCTCCTTTCTTATATGTGAGGGCATTACAGTAAGTAAACACTCAACTGTATTATTGAGCACTTTAAAACAACCACCGCTGTCAACAAAGTGCTGTACATGAAGCAAATATCATATATACAACAATAAACAATAAATTAATAATGAAGACGGTACAGAGCACAGAATAGCAAAACTAAGATCAAGTCTGAGTCATGCTGAGTCAAAAGCCAAAGAAAACAAATGAGTTTTGAGATGAGTTTTAAAGATGGGCAGCGAGGAGGCTTGCCGAATGTTCAGTGGGAGCTCATTCCAAAGAGAGGGACCAGCAACGGAAAAGGCTCGATCCCCTCTGAGCCTCCACTTAGTTCTTGGTACCTCAAATAACGTCTGGTATGCAGACCTGAGGCACCTAGCAGGTGTGTAGGAGCGGAGGAGCTCAGAGAGGTAAGGTGGAGCGAGGCCATTTAAAGATTTGAAAACAAATACTGTAATAGGATCTTAAAAAGAACTCTAAAATGTATAAGGAGCCAGGGAAGGGATGCCAGAGTAGGAGTTATGTGCTCCCTCTTACGAGTACCAGTCGGGAGACGAGCAGCAGCATTCTGGACCAACTGGAGATGCTTAATGGAGGATTGGCTGACTCCAAAATAAAGTGCATTACAGTAATCCAGCTGGGATGTGACGAAGACATGAATTACTGTTGAAAATATTCCTTTAAATTTTTGTTTGATCCTTGTTTTTGATATACGTATACAATGTTGGTGTCCTACGCGAAGGGGTGCGTCCGCTGGGCTTGGAAAACCAGAGGTAGGAGTAAGTCACATACATGCAAGTCACAAGTAAATCTCACGTCGTAACCTTCGAGTCTCAAGTCACTGTGGATAGAGCATCAAGCAGGTCAAGTCGAGTTGCCACCAAATTTCAAGCAAGTCAAAAGTCATTACTTGGTTTTAGCAAGTCGTAAGTCAAGTCATAAAACACTGCCTCAGTCACAACGTATGTAGATGATAAGAAAAAAAAAATTACATCACTGATTAGACGACAAACAGTACATTACACTCAACACATTTACATCTCTAAAAATTACACAAAAAAAAAAAAAAACTTAACTTTTGCAATGAACGTCTACACTTAAATTATTTGGACGACTGCATAATTTTTTTCATACTAAATTAATTTGAGTGGCACACTACTAAGGTGATAAATATTGACATCTATGGAACAAATGTGGTAGTAAACATGTTGATTCATCAGATTTAAAAGCGACAAACGTTGTTTCTGGTGCCAATCTGTTACTCAAATCTAATCGGTGTGTGTAAACGATGAATGAAAGGCATGCACTTTGTGATTTTAGGAGCCACTTGGATTGGCAGGGTGTTGGCTGCTTCCATACCACAACGGTGCACAACGACACAAGCAGCCCCTTATGCCCAATTCCACCTAAACAAAGTCGAAGAAAACACCGAAGAAAGAAAACTCCACCTACGTGCGCAGTTAGATGACACTTTGGGCGAGACTTGTGCTGGGCATGAAAATAGGGGTCAGTGTATTTAAGTCTATATGCTTAAATCACAATTACTGTTTTAACGGTATAGTTTCAAGATTCCAGTCTCCATTGTGTCTAATATATTGCTTTATTGGCTTCTCAATGAAATGCAGAAGTATTTGACAGGTAAACTGTCAAGCTAACCTAAAGCTTAGGTTCACGGAGCTATCTTAGATGTGCCAGACAGATGAAAGAAAACATTCTGGATGTTGTCTCTTATCTTCTGAGTTTCAAACCTTGCATGTTGCTATTGTCTTTTTCTCAGTTTTATCAAAACGATCACCCTTGAAACCAAAAATGTCTCCACACCCTTTTTTTTTTTTAAATCTCCACAATTGACTGCTAGCAACACGCCGCTTTACTTGCTTTGCATTCAGCAGTTGGCATTTATATTTAAGTACACGGGAGCTACTTTCAAAGTGCACATCGCTTCACCTTATTATTAAATAAAGGGCAGGTGAGAGTTTTGCATGACTATGCGTACGAAAAGCCAACAGTCAAAATGAATAATTCGGAGTTTTCACGAAGCATCCTACCCCTGGTTATGTCACAATCACTCTACTTAAATGCTCAGTCACATTTTTTTTTTATTGGTCCCGAAGCAATGTTCGTATCGCCAGCTAAACTGTGTTGTTAGCTTACCTGTCTTTGTGGGTTTTGTAACGAATGAAGTTAGACGTCGTTGTTGTGTCTTCTGTCTGTGAGGCGCAAACCGTATGTTTTGCCAACCTATTTTTGCCAACATCATCGACAAGATCACCCATTGATTCAAATTCAGTGGCGGGCCGTGCATTTCAACCTTAGGCCTTCAGTGACGTCACATACAAACACAATATAGGCTCGTCAAGCAGCACTTAATTTCAGGAGCATTTAAAACCATCAAGTATGCATTCACAATTAAGAGCAGGAAACTAAATTTACAGATAGTCAAAAATAAAAAGATGATTTAAAAATACGAAATAAAATGCCACCCAAATTACGTTGTGTGATCTTCAACAAGTCTGTCCAATAAATTGCGCAGTGTCGCAGTTTCATATAAGACACCAACCAAACAATAACAAAACAAACTATTCTTTGAAAATAAACAGATCATTCGCATTTTGAAAATCGGCGATACAACAGCAAATAACTGACATAACTGACTAACTAATAACTGAC